TCTTCTGTGCCCGCCGACGCGACTACTACCACTGAATCCACCACAGCGACAGCGACCCCTGCTGCTGACCCTTCCTCCTCTTCCTCCAGTTCCGAGTCTGACACTACTACCGGGATGGAGGCCGACACCGAAGAGTCGGTGACGTCAGAGGAGGAGGAGTCAGATAAGGCTGACGAATCCATAAAGGAAGGCGCAAAAAAGGAAAAGTGGGTGGCCGTCAAATCCCAGACACCGGCTGCAGAAGCCCAGCCTGAACCCGCTGCTCCTGAAGAGTCTAGCCCCTCATAAATGCGCCTCTCGCATCGACATTTGGACTGGACTGGCTGCTCGCTCCACGTTCCGCTTCCCGTGCTCGGGATCCCGCCGCTACTCTGTCGCTATCTACATCTACTACTGGTTCTTCGTGTGTTTTGGTCGTTATCTGCCTGTTGATACGTTAGACGGAATGGCATTCTTTTGTGGAGATCCATCCACTCCTCATCATTGTCCCATCGGAAGTTGGAAGTTGTGTGATTCAAGCTAACTTTTGAGCGGGAATGCGGTTTTCGGATTACATTATCTAGGTGATCCATGTCAATGCCCATAGCGTATGTGTGTATATTAGAGCGTAAAATGCATGAAATGGCGTGGGCTCGTAAGAATTTTATGTCGGCTTGACATTGACGTCGGAAAGAGTTTTGAACGCCTCCTTGTATGCATCCAGGAGCGCCTTGACCCTCGCCCGCTCCGCCACCAGACCCTCATCCTCGTGAAGCATGTCTTGGAATAGCTCAGGCTTGTAGAGGGACGAGACAAGACGATTCTGCACATGATATGATGTATGGTTGACGAGGAAGTGCATGATGGCTTTTGGTACGAGGTCCTGAATGCTCTGTCGGACGATCCCGAAGTAAGATGCAATAAGGGAGCGAATAAGAGACGTTTCCATCTCTTCTCGGAGGGTAAGGTGATTCCCCTCGGAAGGAATCTTCGAAAACAGATATGTCAGATAAAGGGAGAAAGTATAAAAGGTTGCTCACGGCTTCGATATGTTTCCCCAAGCTCTTCATATCGTACGCTGCATTGCTTCCGTCCATGTTGCGCTGGCCAGACAGAAGCCCGGCGCCGATCGTGATATTGGAGCCTTCTCCTCCTCCAGACATATCCCGGCCCACGGGTACCGTTCCCTGTACGCTGCCGCTCGGACGGGTCTGGTGTCCCATGTTTCCCACACTCGATCCAGCCAACGGGCCTGGCCCATTCTGACCAAAGAAGTAGTTCAAAAAAGTCTCACGCGCTGAAGGCGGAGAACCGCGATGCGTCTGTGCCATCGCGGAATGAGGTCGCTGTTGATTGGGGAACTTTCTTGATGGTATAGCCATTGTGGTGGGTAATGTAGGGGTAGATCCGGTGGACGTTCGGGTACGGTCATGTACTGTGGCGGATACAGAGCGTTTGTCGCCAGAAGCAGGGAAGATCCCGTTGGGGAGGCCGTTCTCATCTGACGACTCCGCGTCCTCGTCGGTTCCAGTGCCATTTGTGGGCTCAGTAGAGGCAGGCTGCAGAATAACGGATCAGGGAAGACCAAAAACGGAGACTACAGAATTGGCTCACTCGCAGAGGAATTTGCCGAACTGGAGGAGAACTTGCTTGCTGTGCAGCTACAGCAGATCCTGAAATGAACGCGGGGTGGTTGGTGTTGATGTACGCCGCCTGTATCGCGATCAAGCTCTGTGCATATTCGGAGGTGGGGCCCAGCCGTTCCCGTAACAGCTCGGAAACAACTTCAATAAGTTTTGCATGCAAGCCAGGGAATCGTTGCAGCTCCTAAAAGATACAATCAGCAGCGCAATATACCGTCGACGTGAGTCCTACAGTGCTGGTGCAATTGTGGCAAATCTTCACAAGCTCCTCATACACGAGTTCCACGCAGCGTAAACTCGGTGCCTCCAGCAGCTTGATCTGGGGCTTTACCAGGAGATCGAAGGCGATTTCAGGGACGAAAAGGCTTGGACGCGGGCCCGTGGAGTTACGAATAGCGGTCCGGATGTCCTGGTTTTCGAGGTTCTGCGTTGAGTCGATTCCATCAAGGGCCTGTCCGAATATATCATTGAAGATGTAGTATATCCGGGCACCACCTGAAAGCTCCTTCGTGGAGATATCCACCTTCGTTCCTTCAATGGAAGAAACGAAATCGCGTGCAAACTGCGTCATTAATCGCAGAATAAGGGCTCCCTGCTGCAAGGATGGATGAGTTTGGCAAGGGAAGGGATATCTGCGTAATAATGCGAACCTGATTCTGGTCTCCAAAGCTATCTGAATCACCAAACGAATTGAGCTCCTGTTGAGCCTGACCCATGAGGGTGTTTAAGCGGGCCTTCATGTCCGGGAGCTTATCCCGTATGTGGTTCATCAAGACCTGCACAGACAACACATTTTAGTGAACTTGTTCAATTCATAAACAATCCATCGCACTTGATTCAGACTCTTGGCCAAGTATTTTGTTCCGTTCTTGTGGGCGATATTTCGGTATGCGGGATGGCTCTTGAAGAACTCGGTTTCGCTGTTTAACGCAGCTTCCATGCTCTTCTCCCCATTGATGTCTTGCTGACTGCGGTTCACGACACCGATGAATCCAAGCTTCAGCGGGTAGACACGCCCGGTCAAGATGTCCAAAGCGTTAGTCCCGGCGTCCATGAGGTCCAGCTTCGTCAGAACACCAATTGTCCGCCGGCCTTGTGGGTCGACTTGACGGGCAAGCTTGAGGGATTCCGAATTGGCCAAGTCAACATTGGCCGGTGATACAGAAAGGATAACACTCCATCCACGCGTGAGCATTCCTTCCCGGGCTGAATATAGACAAGTACCTGTTCGGCTTGGAAATATAATCCAAAACCAGATTGCGAATTTGCCGTTCAATGTCACTTGGTTGATCTCCAACCGGAATCTTGAGGGCGTTAGTCGGTCCGACTCATCGAAGGCTCCAAACGACGCACTTTGGTCAATCCCGGCAAGTCGACGAGCGTCAAGTCCAGTACGTCTGGACTGTATATCCGCAGCGATATCGGCAACTTGCTAACACCCTTATTTTGCCCCGCCACCCGAAATGTCTCCTGCTCAATCTCTTTACGAATGTCGTTGAAGTCGGTGAATTTCTTGTCTATGTGGAGGAATTGCGCCCATTCTCGAAAGGTTGGGCTGCTGGGAGACGGGTCGTTGGATTCGGGAGTGTGTATCAGCTGAAGGACCAGTGGCCGGCGGGTAACGATGCCTTGACCACGCGGAAGAAAGTCCCGTCCAACGATGCTGTATAATGCATCAAAGCGCGCAGAGGGAAGAGCTCGTGGGAACTGACGTCTCGAGAACACTGGACTTTCCTGCTGATTGACTGCCCACCTGGTGGCAAGTCAGTTGAATGCTCTTCACCTGCTCAACTTTCACTCACAACCACAAGTTGGGGCATGTCCAGCTCCCCCCCTGTAGAGAAAAAACAATGAATGGATACTCCACAACGGCGCCGCAAGTGAATGAGCGCACCCAAATTATTGAAAGTATCCTGGAGCTGAATATCCTGTCAGCTAATGCAGCGGAGCATCCCTAGCATAGGTACCTTGTTTACAAGCTTGATGAGGTCGGTGTCCATGTTGCCGTAGAGGAAGAAGGGCTTGCGCCGAGAAAACGCGTAAAATTGCAACGAACGCGTCGTCACGGCACTGTGAGAATTTGGCACTGTTGTCTGCGATCATTTCATTTGTCGGAAGCAACGGACGCAGAAAAATCATTGTAAAACAGGAGGACATCTCGACGTTTTTAATCTACATAGAGTTCAAGAACCTCAGTAGGTCCTGCCGGTTGGCGTCCCGCTCATCGTCACCTTTCTCCTTCTTCACCTTCAGTTTGATCTTTACAGCAGAAATGAGCACTGGTGTGCCAGCATTGACCAAGAGCGGAAGTACCTTTTTGCCGGTCAATACGCTCCTCCGTTCTTCCTTCTCTTTCGAGCGTTCTCGCTCCTTCCTCCGTTTTCGCCGCTTCCTGTCTTCCTCATCCTCATCCTCGTCCTTGTCCCTGCTCCTCCGTTTGCTGCTCTTCCGGTCGCGGGACGAGGAGCCTTCGTAATACTTGTCACGAGAATACTCATCCTAGTGTTCGAAATTCATGACAGCACCTTCCGAGGTCAAAAGCTGTTATTTTGGCTTACAGCGAGAATGGACGTACCACTGGCGAATGGGCGCGGCGTCGGTCTCGACTAGGACTCCGACTCGGCGGTTTGCGTCGGTGCTGCGCACGGAGGATGAGTGCAAGCTTCCCAGGGATGAAAAAGCATGCTGACTGAGTATTCATATTCATGTCTTTCTGAACGCGGACTGGAGCTCCTCTTGAGTTTACCCTAGACCAGTTGGGTGAGATGAAATAAAGTCCAGAGAGAGGCGTACCGTATGCTTTTCATCACTGCGCGAACGATAGTGAGAGTCTGTGCTTAGATCTCGTTTAACCTAGAAAAGTCTAAGGCCAAAATACAATTCCATTAGTTGACCAAACCAACGACCGGCTTTTCCGACGACCGCTCGTAGCGCCCATTTGTGGTTGCGTGGTGGTGGCGACGGGAGGTGTGAGAGCGCCCTGGAGAGACTGAATGCCTAGAACGGTCATGGGGAGGCGAATCGTCGTCACGGCGGTGTCTCTCGGAGATCGGAGAACGAGACCGTGCTGATAAACCACATTCAAGCCGCAGTGCAGACCGAGGTGGACGGAGAAGTGGATGTCAGAGCGAGTAGCAAGATGAGTCTCGTTGGCTGTACTCATTGCAGTCGATGCATCTCACCAGTTCGAGATCTGGAAGTCTGTTTTGCATCATCGGGGGTCTGGTCCCACCTCGAGGAGTATCCCATGGCTCCAATGGATGGATAAGAAGAAGGATAAGCTTGAGGCCCAGAGTGTAGGGGAGGATGTACGAGGCACCTTGGATTGGCTTTGAGGATGGTTCGGCAGACCTCTCTGTTTGGGCAGCTTCTACCATGTCTTGGGTGGTCCAACGGTTAAGATTCCCGCTTGTCATGACAAGTCAAAAGATCTGTTTCAGATCGCGGGCGACCGGGGTTCGACTCCCCGCTCGAGAGCTTTTTGGCCTTATTTTTGCAGCATCTTTTACTTTCGTCCCGCCTTTCGTCCCGCTTCTGTTTAGGCATATACATTCAAGGATGCTTTAAATATATTCAACTTCACCAAAACTACGTTTGGCCACCTTCCCGCGCCTCCGCTAGCAATGACTCTGCGAAATCTTGGAAATCCCCTTTACGACATGACCGACTGGGCTGTTCGTGAAGTTGAAGCGCTTGGGCGCTGGTATTGGCGAAGTTGCTCACCTTGAACGCGTAAATGACAGTCTGTGGTGCAGAGGAGTCCGCATGCTCTGTGCCTTCGAGTTCTTTCAGCGCTACACGGAGTATGTTCTCCTGTGCATCGAAAGTACACCGCACAGTGGGCTGCATCCGCACATTCATTGAAACCTTCCACAGAGGTTCCCGCCGGAACACTACAATGTTCCCCGTAAATAAAAAATCGACTGGGTGCCCGGCCAGACAAACACACGTAATCGTTTTGCGAGGGTCGTCTTGTGGGACAAGAGCTTGATGTGGCCCACCATCCCGCCCGAGAAATTGTCTTCTCCACGCTTCACGAAGAGTTTGACGCCTTTCAGTTCCAGCGCGATGTCTTCCTCCTCCTCTCCGGTAGAATCTATTGTTGAAGCTCAGATGCGCTGAGGATTATGGTCGATGATCACTGACATGTGTGTGTTGCGAGCATCATAGTTTTCGCTGCAGCTAGTGCCGGCAACGCGTCTGCGGGTGCAGCATCCACGCTCGACGATGTTCCCTCAACCACAGAGGTTCCTATAGTGCTCGCCCAAATTGGCGTCGTGGCGGTGGACCCGTTATCTTTTGCTGGACTGTAGGAGAAAAATGGCGAGCTCGTTCCAGCGAAATTCGCAAATCCGGGGGATGTCGTGCTCCGCTATGGCCAAGCTATGGTTCAGAATATTTCGATGGTCGAATTGAGATAACCTTACTGTAAAAGGAAATGGTGCAATTCGCCGGGGAGTCGTGGGGAAAACAAAGCGAGGTCCTTCGAGCAAAACAGGCTCTTCTTTGTCGGGCACTGGATTTGGACTGTCTTCAACGACATCCGGCTTCGTCGGCTCAGAATCGGGTAGATCTGGGGCAGCTATAGCCGGCGGATCCAAAAGTACCTCCTCATTATCGTTCGAGTCACAGGACGCTGGCAGGAATTCCTTGATACGATCAAGTCAAAAACACGAATGAAATTTGAGTAGTGGGTACCTACAGTAGTTTGATCAGGGTCATAAACAGAGCCGCTCCGACGCTTGTTCGGGTAAATCGACTTGAGATTCTAGATAGATGTAAGCTCGGTGAAGAAGAACTGACTTTGCGACGACAACAAACATTGGGATAAACCATATCCTGGAAGGTCAGTCAAATGTCTGCATTGGTCAATGGACTCGATGTACATACGGGATCGGTTTCATCGGGATCGTGGGCGCGTTTCCGCTTCAAGGAACCATTCTCGATAGGCTCTGACGTCAAGTCGGAGGGTTTCTCTTCGCTGTCCGGAGAATCCAGTTCCGACTCGTCCGTTGATTTTTCGAAGACGAGAAGGCTCGATTGTCCTGCGGTGGAATCCGATATGGTATTGTTTTTCGGAGAGGGTAAATGCTGGGGTATGGCGCGCCTGTCGAGATTGCCAGGAAATTTCAGTCCGATGAGAAAATACTCCAGACATACGACGGGAGGGGTCTAAATTTGCGGACACAAGCATAACCGACAGTGGCGGCGAGTGTTGCGAATCCACAGATGACAAAGTTGAAGTCTGCCATGGTTGAATATGGTGGTTCTTGTTAGATGTTCAAAAGGAGGAGCGTGAGTTGAAAGCGAGAAATTTTGGAGAACGTCGTTTTATGCAGGATAAGGCCAAGCGCATGCGCGAAGTGCGTGATTGACAAGCCTCGAGGACTCGGATCCAGGGCCACGAGGTATCGGTGCTCGATTCGACGTCCAGAGACAGACACAAGGCACCAGCATATATTCAAGCAAATAAGGGAGGGAGGTACCAGAATTGACGTTCAATGGGCCAGTAGAGGTTCATGAATATCGTTGCAAGGCCGGTGCCAACAGAGCTCTTTCGATCATCGAATTTCTCAGTAAACGGGGCTTTTTTGGAGTACCCGATGATTATTTTTAGCATGATGATGATGAGAGATAGCGTTCCGCGCAGCTGCGGCGATGTTCTGCGCTGCGCCACGTAGTTTCATTTGAGTTTCATGGTAAGTCGCAAACGCGAAATGTCACATCATGAAAAATCGTGACCGCCGTGACGGCTCTCTTGAAATTGCTCCCTTCGGCTCATTGGCATGGTAGACCAGTAGGGTACTGGCGATTATTATTCGCTCTTGAAGTTGTGGGAGAGATGAAAGTGCGGCAAACCGGTCAAGTTTCGGGGATGCTATTTCCTTGTTGGCCCGGGTGTCGCACGTGACCCTCGAGTCGCGAGTCTGACGTGGAACTTGCCTGTTACAACAGGCTTTACAGTCGGTATAAATATACTCGGGATCTCTGGAATCTCTCAACTTGTAACTATGCTCTCCTCCCGACTTTTGCTGTCGCTCGTTTTCGTGCCGGCGTTTGCGTCGGCGGCGGTCTTTCCTCCGGATTCGCTGGTCAAGATGCTCGACGCGAAGAGTTTCAAAAAGGCCATGAGAGCAAACGTCGGTGTATCATGCTTAGTTTTCGTCGTTTATTAAGCTGGGAACGCAGCAAACTAGCTTGGTTGCGTTCGTCGCCCCTTGGTGCGGGGTATGGTTGCATCTTCGTTTCCTACTGTATTCCTAATGCCATTGTAGCATTGCCAACGGTTGGTGCCCGAGTACAGCAAGGCCGCACTGGGTCTCCATCCCCTCCTTCCCCTCTATGCCGTGGACTGCGACGACGACAAGAACAAGCGATTATGCTCGGAACAGGGGGTACAAGGGTTCCCGACAATTAAGGTGAGTATTATTGGGACTCAAATATCGCACGCGTTGACTTGTTCACAGCTATTTCCCCGTGGCAAAGAAATACCTCCTATGGTGTACGACTCTGGCGAACGTACTGCCAGCGCGCTCTATTATTTCGCGACACGTCGGGTACCCGTTGCCTTCACGAAACTGTTCAAGACGGAAGATATCGTTCCGTGGGTCGAAAAGGTCGGTGGGACGTTTTAGCTAGGGGAGTGCCTCATTCCTTTTGTAGACGGTTGAGAAGAAACGGACACTACTTCTGACGAAGGACAAGAAGGTGCCGCTGCTGTGGAAGGTGCTGGCCAACAAGTACAAGGGAGAGTTGGAGTTTGGGACCCATCGTGACCGCAAAGGCAAGTCTTCTGTGGCGCTGGGATTGGAGGCGGGCGAGAAGAAAGAGTCCAAGGTCCTCGTCTACTCTCCTGGATCGACGACGCCGTTCCGTTATGAAGGTTTGTGTTTCGGTGCTTTAACGAGCCTCAATTAACGCATTTGCAGGCATCAACAAGCTCGATTCCTTGAGCAAGTTCTTCGACTCGGTCATCGACGGCACTGCGGACCTCACAGTGATCAACGCAGAGGCCAAGGCTGAAGAATTCGAGCCGACTGAAGAGGAGCTTGAGATCCAGCGAAAGCAAGAGGCGCAGCGGATAGCCCTGCTCCACGGAGGCTTCTCCGAACTCATCGACTTCGAGGCGGCAGTGTTGAACGGGGACGCCGCGAACTACCATGACACGCATGGGTTCGGCTCTCCGCCACCGTTAAAGAAGGAGAAGCCAGCGGAAGGCGAAGCTGCAAAGGCATCGGAGCCTGAGGCACCGAAACCGGTGGAGGCTGAGAGTGCGAAGCCTGTGGAGACTGAGGCGGCGAAATCGGCGGAGACTGTCAAGGCACCCGAGGACGCTGGTGAGCAGGCTACTTTGAAAACACCAGCAGAAGAGGCCCACGTCGGAAAGGACGAGACTGAGCTATAGGCTGTAGCCCGTAGTAAATACCATGTATCTTTTAGAGAGAGGGTTTTATATGATTATTCTGGGATGACCTGCCTCCCAAAGTAACAACCGCAAACACCATTGTTTCTCCTGCCGCTTTGCTTGAACAAGTTTCAATAAGAATTTCTGAGCCGTGTGCGCGCTGTGCTGAGTTCCATGGCTCGCGGCCAGGTTTCCCCTGTGGCGCCGCCGCTGCCCAAAGTCTCGTTTCAGAAGATTGAAGACGATGTGTCCACTCAACCGAGTGGTGTGCACGACGGGCAGGCGCGCAGTTTCGGGTGTACGTCCTTCGTTCGCCGAGTCGACCCTCAGCTCACGAGACACGTAGATAATGACTTTTCCGAGTTCCACAGACCGGACCAGTACATTCGCCATATTGGTGAGCGGCGATCTCGCGTTATGGCGTGTGTTTGAATGCCAGTAACACAGAACCTCTGGAAATCGATCTTGAGCGCCAGGTCGAATATGACATGGACGAGCAAGGTATGTTAATAGCGCGCTTATTGGCGCGTCTTTACTTATAGTTCGGCAGATCAAGAATGGCTCGATGCGGTAAACGCAGAACGCAAGAAGGAGCAGCTGGACAAGGTCTCTCATGAAGTCTTCGAGGTCATCATGGATCGACTGGAGAAAGAGTGGTTTAATCTTGTGCGTTGCCTCCTCGGCCTACCGTAATTTCCTAAATATTCATCAGACCAAACATATTCCGAAACCCGATCTGGCGCTACCCTCTGAGGACTCGACCTGCGCCATTTGCGATGACTCTGAGGGCGAAAACAGCAATGCGATCGTGTTCTGCGACGGCTGCAATCTCGCGGTTCACCAAGGTGAGCACTTTGGCCTTGCTGCAGCGCCTTGGACTCACGGTGCAGACTGCTACGGGGTGCCGTATATCCCTGAAGGGCAGTGGTTATGTCGAAAGTGTACCGTGTCGCCTGAAAACCCGGTGGTGAGTCGACAATTGATTCACCTTGGTCTCGACAAACCTCCCACTTTAACAGTCCTGTATCCTGTGTCCGAATGAAGGTGGTGCCTTCAAGCAAACAACACAAGG